GTTTAGAACTTGTAAAAAACTTTTTAAGAGCATTCATACTAGCTCTTTCAAAGTCCAAAATAATATTCTTCTCTTTTATTACTTCTTCTTTTATTTCTTTACTTAACCATTCAAAAAGCTTATTATAAGAATATTCATTTTTTGTTTTCATAAAACAATACAAAAGAGGCAAATTTTTATTTCTAACATTACACTGTAAGGTAAAAATTTGTTCAAAGTTTTTAGGAGCAGATCTGAAAGTGCCATCACAAATCATTATTTTGCAATTGATGAGATGCAAAATATTTTCATTAGTTGTAAATACAACAATTCTGTTCTCATCATGTATTCCAGAATCGTAAAACAAAAACTTCTTCCCTCTGGTTGTTTTTGTCAATTCATATGGAATATCATATTCCTTAACAATTGTAAGATTGTTGGTCTTTCTAACCCTTGTGACCAAACTATTCATCATCTTATAATCTATAATGTTTGAGTAGTTAAATTCAGACATTACATTAGAAAATGCAACTCTTGATGTTTCAGAGGTGTTTAGGATTCTCTGTTTTAATTTACTAGCAAAGAGTACTTTGCTATATTATATCATCACTGCAATGATTAGCTCCGAAAATTCCAGTAAAAGACAGTCTATTGTAGTTTTTAATAATGAGGGGCACTCCCTATTATTGCACCCTAAGACCAATTTACCAACAGGATGTTCCTTAAAATTGTAAAAAAGCCTTCATATGCAATTTTTTCTTTTCCTCTAATGCTTTTGATGATATTATTTGATTAATTTTTCATAAAAAGAGTAAAAAATTTAAAATTATAAAAAGAGAACGACCTTTTTAAAAATTATTTAAAAGTTTTTAAATATAGGAGTAAAAAATTAATAAATGAAAATTAATCCATTTTTCACCGCAGGAGAAAAATGAACCTAACGTTCTAATCCTGGGTCGTTCGCGTATAAGCGGAGATAATTAATTATTATGCCATCTCACGTCATTACATACGGTATAATCGTAGGCTTATATTTATACAATGACGGTGTATGATTTGCTAAAAGGTCATACTTATGTTTCTTCTCTGTCTCAACAGCGTAGAGATTTTCAAACTTAGCAATTCCAACTTCTACTATTGTAATCTCTTTTCTTAATTTATCCACGATAAATATATCTGGCTTATTATATTTGATTACCATATTAGCTTGGATTCTACTGTATACTCTTATTTCAACATCTCTACTTGCAACCACATCTTGCAGGGTATGATTCTTGATCTTCCTGCACGATTAAAGTCCATAAATTACGCATAACTGTAAATGTATACATCTTGACGCTTTATTATGGTGTCTCATATAATCATGTACAAGCATTCTATTACACTTGGTAGCCATATGGTCTACCGACTTCATCTTTTCCCGGCAACCTACGCATTTAACTTGCTTTTCAATTAAATATGTTCCTGTCTTGTAGAACACACAGTGCTCAATTTTTCTTGGACTGTTGTTCCCTTTTGTCAGCCACATTATAGATGCTTTGATACCTACTGAAGGATCGTCACAGGCTCTAAATAGCTTTGTGTGATTTGTCTTTTTCTTAATATCACTAATTAGAGCTTTCCTTTGCGCTTCTTTGAGTGTTTTTAAGTCAATTTGCTTTTCGAGCCTGTATTTTTCTTTTAGAAAGGCTCTTGTGTTTGAAAAGTATGAGTTTCTTTGTTTGCTACATAAAGTATGGTCTTTCTTCTAGGTCGAGATTTTTTTGAGCTTTCAATTGTATTGTATAGATTAAACAGCATTACCTCACTTTTATGTTCAATACCGGTCAGCCCCTCCCATTTCTTTTCTCTGTAGAAACTTTATATACTTACAATAATTTGTCATAAATATGATTTATTTTCCGATATCTGGTGTGCACACTCAGCACGTTGAATCATATAAAAATCACTTAATTAATATAAAAAAGCCAGAAAAGGGATGAATATAAAACAGAGGAAAAATTTTTTATTAGAGTTTATGTTTAGAGGGCACTATGTTGATAAAAACTTTTTATCTTTTATTAAATTATTGCAGTGTTTTATTTTTTTTTACCGGGGCGTATGCACCCCGATCCAAAACCTCTTTATCTCTAAATTCTTTATCCATTTCTTCTATCCACTTTCATTAATTTTCATTTTTCTTAAACTATCTGTCGACTTTAATATTAATCCAGCATAATCTTTTATAAAGTTCCTAAATTATCCTGCCATTCTTCCAGAATCTTTTCAACTCTATCAAAATTGACGGCCGTGGATACTCTAAGGCTTGGTTCTTTTTTATTTCATCTGCAGTCATATTCGTGCTATTTAATGTTACCCCCAAAAAGATTTACTTCTTTCTAACAAACTGTACTTTATTACTATTTATCTTTATTTTATGCCTTTTGATTTCTTTAAAACTTCTACGACTAATTCATCATGCTTCCTCTTTTTCTCTGCGTGTATCACAATATCATCCATATGTGCTTAACGCCGCGGCCCGGTAAATATTCAAATATCTTGTTCATCGTTTTCTGAAAAATCTGTGACGAATTTTTAAAACTCAACACCATATTATTCCATTCGTATACTTTTTTATTAAATTTGAAGGCAGTTTTATGCTTATCTTTCTCCTCTATTTTCACATGATAAAAAGCTTCCTTGCAGTAAACTACTTTAAATATTTCTGAGCTCATAGTTGCCCTCATTATATCTCCCATGTTTGATAACTCATGTGGATCTTTTTCCACAGGATTATCTAATCCAATAAAGTTTTTAATTACTTTAACACACACCCATTCGGTTATTTTATCGCTCTAGTTGGGTTCCTCCATTCCGGTTTTGATCTTTAAATTACCTTTTTATTCTCTAAATCTTTTATATACTCTTCTGCATCTTTCCTCGGCGCTTGTGGAATAGTTTTCCCTTTCCTTATCATTTTATGTCCCTCTTTTGTAAGAATCTTACATTTTTCCAGTGTACAATATCCAATTTCTTCCTTTTACGAGTGGTCAAATATTTCCTTAAATTGGCTTTTACCTCTTTCGAAGTTGGCCCTTCTTTTAACTGTATTCTTTTTGATTCGCCAGTGCCATTATTTATATAACTTATTTTCTTTCTTTTTACTCTTTTTTGAGTAATTTTTTAGTCTTAACCTCTTTTTATCTCCATTGCATGTATAATTTTTTTTAGAAACACCATCATTTGAACTCTGAACATTATCTAAAACATAACAAAGCAAAAATTTTTATTTTTTCCTCTCTATACCATTTTTGAATGCGGCAATACACAGACATATGGCCAAATTTACCGCAATAGAAACAATCTCTGCCCCTTCTTTCGTCTTCAATTTGGTTTTTTTAATCGGCTTTCACATGTTCAGCTTTCTCCTTACTGCCTCTCCAACATTCTCGGCAATCTCTTCCATCATCTCTCTCCGAAACTCTTCTTCTCTTTTCTGCCCCCCTTCCCTTACTACTTCATCTTCCAGTTATTTGATAATCCTAAAATATTCGGGTCGGGTCCCCTTCACACCCCGAAAAGACATCAAGCCCCTTTCATACCCCGAGTAAAAAAAAGGATAAATTTTAAATAATTTAATAAAAGATTCAATTTTTGGGTCTAATAATAATAATAATAATAATTTTTTTGTTTATTTATTAATTCTTTTCGGAGAAACTATTACACTTCCTGATTCCACCACCACAAACTTTCAGAACAT